GTCAGCTTCTCTGTTCACCAGAGCAGGCATGATCCAACGTAGACTATAGGACTGTCATCTTACATCCGCCCTCTTATCTCTGGGCTCTACAATTATGTCGTGGCAAAGCTGAGGAGGTAGCTCAGTAGGTGATGTGCCTGTCACACACGCATGAGGACTTGATATCTGGATCCCCAGAAACAATGTAAAAAGCCAGACATGGTAGAACTTGTCAGTACCTCCAGAACCAGAGGGGTGGAGACAGGCAGATTCCAGGGGCTTGTGGGTCACCCAGTCCAGCTGAAACACAGCGTTCCAGGCTCAGTAAGAGACCCTGCCTCAAAAAAAAAAAATAAGGTCCAAAGCCATTGAAAAAGGCAACTGATACTGACTTTTGGCCTCTACATATATGCACACACACGTACATAATACACTACACACACAGACACAATGTAATGGAAAAGGGATTGCAGAAGTAGCAAAAGCAAGCAGTAAGAAAGGTAACGGCACAGATCATAGATTAGCCTGAGGGTCCACCTAACCACAGGAGCGCCTGGACACCTTCTCTGGCTCGAAATTTTATAAGTCCACCCTCTACAAGTATATTGATAAGAAACTGTAATCAATGACCCAACCAAGCCCTCATCTAAATTACTAAAAAAGTCACAATAATCAATATCTAATTGACAAAATAGCAAATGTTACTACTAAGAAAATATAAAGACACAACGCACAGACGGGTTAATTTCTTCAGCGAGACAAATTTCCATTAGGAAATGCCTCTATCAGACTCTTTATCGTGACAGTATAGTGGTGCAAATGAATGGCCAGAGCACAACCGTTGTCCACTGAGACCAGACAGCTCAGCTCGTCCTGATTTTGAAATTGGACGCCTTACTGATGTGAGTCACCCGAGTGACGCAGGACAGATTTAATCAAAGTGTTCAGTGTCGCTTCTCCAGTTCTGTCAGGAGACATTAAAAAAAAAAATCTCTCATCATAAATTCAGTACTTTTTTTTTCTATTCAAATCCTAAACTCAAGAAAATAAGTAAGCAAACAAAGGTGCTCACTTGACTCGAAAATAGGTGAGTCCTTCCTCCTCGAACTCAGAGAGTTCGCTGTCCTGTGGGAGAGAGCGGAAAGCAGGACAGACAAGACAGACAGCAGCTTTAACAAACCCACTGGCAAAGCGTCTGTGCCCAGACCTTCTTTCTTTCTCTCATGGCTACTTTCCACAATTCCAAACTACCTCGTAGTCTTCACACTGGAGGCTGTTCACACTTTTTATGTTTTGTGAAAAATAATGGGTTTTAAAATATTTGATGACTATATTAAACTTATATTTGACAGTCTACCTTCCCAAACAGATCACCCAATACGAGACAGCTTTACCTGACGGGCTCGTCATCATTCGGGTGTCAAACTGAGACTGGACTCACTACAGAGACAGTGCTGCCTAGTCTATGTCCAACAGGCCTTCTTCTACTTAACTAGCATGTCTGGGAGCATGGAGTGAGGTTTTGGGTGCTGATGTCATCAGCACAACTTCTCAAGCGCACTGTGGGTAGCATCTAAAATACCAAGAAGCATGGCAGACTAGCCATCATTTCCTGTATATTTGACCTTACTTTAAAGATGTTTGGCTAATTACATACAAAGGACATCAGTGATATCTTCTAGTTGATTTATTTTTCAACTAGATTATAAGATGAGAAGGGTGAGGATTACATACAAACATATATATGTATACACACACACACACACACACACACACACACACACACCCTCCTTTTGAACCCCAGTGGCCTTCCTAAGTCCAGCTTGTCTGTCCATGATCCCAGATGTGAGCCCATGAGTTGTATTTAGATGTTACTGTCTTAGGCTAAGGAAGATGTATGTCTTGTTGGCTGTGCTTCCTGTTACCTGCTCCCCCTGCCTCCCCCAGTCATTGCTTCTCTGTCTTCCGACTCAACATATAATGACAATCAAAGTTCAAGTTTGGTAGAAGCCAGGCCTCGCCGAAAGACAAACAGCCAAACATTCACTCGACTGTTGCAGCATATGATAGATTTTCTGAGATCATGGAAAAGTTGACATTTGCTATACCTTTCTGTCAGATAATAACAAAATAAAGACCATATGCCAAGAGTCTCGGCATCAAGTCCTTCACCTGATGTTGACCTTCTCTTGGCCCGTGGTATAGGGCTTAAAAACAACAGTCTTCCAAAGTCCATCTGCACAGCTCCTCCTCAGAGAAGCATCTTCTACCAATTCCCTCTCAGTGTGGTTTTGTAAGAGGCACGGAAAGTCGTTAGTCAACATGGTTAAATAATGCCTTCTGTAAAATCCCCACAAAATGATCCTATAAACTGTGGTACAGTACAGATGAAACAGAGAGAGTTTACAGTCACAGCTGGTCACAAGTCCACTAACTGTTGCGTTGTGCAAGTCACTCTGCAGATTCAAAGCAGCTACAGCCAGTAAGCCAAGCCTTCATTTTTATCATGAATATTTAAAGGGCCAAGCAATAGAAGGAAACTTTGCTGATGTTAGTTTCCCTAGATATCACAACAAAGTCTCACTTATTGAAGGAGGTACCGAGCCCTGGGAACTACCAATAATCTTTGAGTGGACACTTTCTGTATGTATGAGATTTCAGTAGTTTTTCTGAAGTAATAGCCAAGCTGTTTCTATACAAAGTTTGTTTAAACTATAACTCAAGCTCATTTCTGTAACAAAAGCAAACTGCTTACAAACTGGATTTTCTGAGGAAGTATACAAACTTCCTAAAATATATGTAGATAAAAGACCTTGGGCTACGTTGTGGTATATACTTCAGCAGTGCCAACTTTCCCCCATTCAGCAAGGACTATCTGTGCCAACCAAGTTCACGGTCGGCTTACCTATGCATAGTGAAGTTAAACACAGTCCTTATCTTCCTGGTATACAGATCTCGGAGAGCAGAGAAAACATGAGTTGGTAAATCATGTTATCAGAATGAAACCTATCCAAAGCTTTGAAGAATTCAGCAGATTAAAGGTACCCTCAAATGACAAGAGAAATTGTCCATTTCCTCAGTGATGGACCCAACCAGCTCAAAATCCAGGTGCCAAGTGGTGTTTCAGAGATGTCCAATACACATGTTGAGATTGACACCTTAAAAATCCATCCTTACTGGAACTAGCAAGTCAAGAAAGAAATCCAAGGGGAACACTATCACAAGATATTCCATCTTCTACTGAAACTCAAGGATATATCTAGCCAGGGCATAAACAGTCTCACAGGTCGGTCATTTTTCTCTTGCTTCCTGGGAAATTCCACGTTTGGGGGGTTTAGCAGTAAATTCTTAATAAAACATAGTCTTAGACTGGAAGCCAGTAAGGATTTTTTTCTTCCATGATTTCTTTTTCAATTGAAGCCATGTCTTTTACTATTTTATAGAATGCATGAATTCATTATTTCCAGGTATTGCTTTTTCAAGTACAAAACAAACTAACAAACAAAAAACTCAACCGGCCCTTCAAAAATAATGGTCTTATCAAGGCACAAATATCATTCATTTATATTTCATTCTTCCATTTATACCCCACTGATTCAAAAAGTATAAATGGAAGAGGCTATCATTCAATACTGATGACCTAATGTCATAAGTATCCCCCTCCTACTGAGACTTATGGGTCACTTGGTACCAAATTCACACCCAATTCCTAATGGTCATATTTTACTGTCAACTATGGTTGCAGCAATGTATTTAAAAGATGCCAACCAGTGATTCAGCAAGCATTGAACATGAAAATCTCCAACATCATTAACTGAACTCAGATTGTCAACAGACACCAAGAGGATATCGGGTGGAAGTCAAGGCTTCCCTGGTCCCAAGTTTCAAAGGATGGAAAGCGGGATGAGGCAGGGCCCTGTGATAGGATATTGGGATGGGGCGCTCCCTCATTCAGTGTCTAGGGCTAACTAAGCAGGGCACATCTTTTTGCCAAGAATCTTGGCAAGGGTCTGAGTCCCTGTAGGAGCTCACAGAAGACCAGTGAAGGCCGCTGGCTAACCAAATTTACCCTGGGCAAGAGATGCCCTTGGCTGAATTCACACATGCTCATCTGTTGGCTTTAGTCACTCCTCAGAAAAAGGCAATAGAGAAATATTTGACTTTGTCCTCACAAAATCATGTCATGGAAGCTTCAGGGTTATCCTCAAATAAATTCAGATTAAAAAAAAAAAAAGCGTGTGGCCGTTCTTGGTGGCGACCACATTACTTGTACAGCTGGAAAGCAGATTTGTAAGAGGCCAAAGATTAGACAAAAGGCAGGAGCTGGCGACAGACAGACATGGAAATGGTTTTAAGTGATTAGGGTTTCCCAGTTCCAGTTTTCTCTGTTCTCATGATGATTCCGATCCCTGTGGCTGCTTATCAAATCCCTAAAGGTCTGAAAACCATGTAGAATAAGAGGGTGGGGGGAGAAGACCCTGAAACTTTCCTAAACTGCAGCAGCAGACCTAGGGTCGCCAGGGCGCAGGGGGCACCCTGGGGCGGCGGCCACCCCCTCCCCGCCACAACAAAAGGGCCAGGCTCAGCCTTCGCGCTGGGACTCCAGGACTGGAGCTCCGGGGACCCCAGAGAGGGAAGCAGAGGGGGACAGCCAGTCCCAGGTCTCTCCCTCCCGTGGCGGGGAGAGGGGGGCGATGGAGCCGCGTGTCCGAGTCATGCATAAAGGAAAGCATCTCGGATGTAAGCCGAAGAGTCACCAGCGGCTGCCACCCAGGAGGCAGCCAGGGCAGCTGGTGCCACCCAGATCCCCGGGGAGCATCTGCGCCGCGGCCCCAGCATGTTCCCCGGGCGGCGCCGCCCCCCGGGTATCGCGACGTGGGGGGCTGCGGGACCGCGGTGCAGGTCGAGCCGCTTGGGCCTCCGCCACAATGCGGCCCGGGTCCAGCCGCCACCGCTGCCGCGCCAGGCCCGGGCGCGACACAAAAGCGTCTCCCCCCACGGCCCCGCCACCGCCCACCGACCTTGGGCTCCCGCGCCGGGCTCCCGCAGCGTCTTGGTGACCGCCTTCCAAACGTGGCAGCCGAGCAGGCAGAGCAGCAGTGCAGCGGACCTGCTCATCTCCGCGCCGCGGGCGCCGCGGGCCGCTCGGGCTCGCCACGCTCGGTCACGGGCGGCCAGGCGCCGCGCCTCCCTCCATGGCGCTGTGGCTCCGCGCGCCCCGCCAGCCGCCGGATTGGCCGGGGCCCCGCAGCCGGCCGCTCCCTCCTCCGCGCCCCGCGCCGGGCTTCCCCCGACCGCCGCGGCCGCTCCGCCGGCGCCTTAACCTCTTCCTGCCCCGCCCCCAGCCCGCGGGAGCGCACGGGCCCCGGGCCCGTGGTGCCACCTGGTGGCCGCCGCTCTGCGGGAGTCCCCGGCGCCCCCGGACCCCCGCGCCTTGGGCTCCGTGGCTGCTGTTCCCTGCAGCTGTTCCTGCAGACCGGAGGCCTTCGACGTCACGCTGGGTTACCTGCGGGTCCACGGGAAGCGTTTGAGTCTAGGGTGTGACCTCTCATCCTGCAGCTGTCCAAGCCACTATCCTCTGACTTCCCCCAGGGTAGATGTGACAGCCAGACTTACAGGTCAAGGGTAACAATACCTAAGGTTGACTGCAGAAGATCCAACACCACTGGTTCAGTCCTGCTTGTATAGCATTAAGAGGGAAGGGGTGAAGAGTTTTCACTGATAGGGGCCCGTAGGTGATTTCTCCCCTCTCCACCTTTGTTTATTAAAGAAAAAAATCTAATGGCGTGTTAAAACACAACAGCAAAGACTATTTAGGAGCATTGCAATAGGGACTGTTACAGTGGAATTTTATAGTGGGGGTGCTATATTTTGCTCACTCTCGACTCAGCAGGGACAAACAATCGTTTATAAGCAAGGAGCTGTGTGTGTGTGTGTGTGTGTGTGTGTGTGTGTGTGTGTGTCCTATGGTGACAATTACCAAGATGAAGCACTGGGGATAGGGATCCAGCTAAAGTTATCCAGGAGGATTCTTACTGAAAGCAGGTCAGGATACTCACACACCACTTGTAGGGCAGTGGAGCATGACCACTCGGGACAGATATCTAGAGTGGATATCCACGATGGGAGAGCAGGCTGGCTAATACTAAATGTTATAAGAGGGGGACAGATGGACCCAAGAGATGAGAAACCTAGTACCTGAGAGAATCTTTGTCACAGCCTAGGATTGGTTTGGCATGGTGTCATATGTTTGTGATACCAGTACTCAAGCCAAGGTTAGGCTGAGACGCAGGGAGACATTCTATTTTCATAGAATGAACATGAAACATGAAAGGTAGAGAAAGCTAAGGAACCCGATCCAAAGCACACAGCTGGGCAGTGGCTGTGGTGGCTAGTTTGAATGGCCAACTTGACAGTCGAGAATCATCTGGGAAGGAAGGCTCAAGGGCTGGGGTGGAGTAGTCTAGGTTGGCCTATGACAGAGGGTCTCAACTTGTGGGCCATGACCCCTTTTGGGTTGAACAATCCTTTCACAGGGTACACCTAAGACTGTTGGAAAAGTTACGTTATGATTCATAACAGTAGCAAAATGACAGTTATGAAGTAGCGATGAAACTAATGTTATGGTTGGGGGTCACCACAACATGAGGAACTGTATTAAAGGCTCACAGCATTGGAAAGGTTGAGAGCCACTGGCCTATGAGCATGCCTGTGGGAGACTATCTTGATTGTGTTAATTGAGGTAGGAAGATCTGCCCAGTGTGGGTGGTACCATTCCCTAGGCAGGAGAAGTCTGAACTGTGAAAGAGCAGAGAAAATGAGCTGAGTGAGTGTGCATGCCATCCAGTGCTCTCTGTCCCTGATTATGGGTGTGATGTGATGAATCCCTTCAATTTTCTGCCACTGTGGTGTCCCTGCTATGATCAACTATAACCTGGAACTGTGGACCCCTTTCCCCATAAACAAAACAAACAAACACAGTAGCAGAACATTCTAATAAAAATCAGTTCTGTTCCAAACTTAAAGCTCTTTGCCCAAATTTCTAGACTGCCTTTAGTCAAAAAACATCCCCATCAACATGGTAAATTCCCTATCTATTGACCTAGTCTTGTCCATATGTTTCTCCATAAAATCCTCATGCCCACCGATTTCCCTCTAATGTATCCCAACTCGCAGTACAGTAACCATCATGGTCCCCCTGCACTGAAGAAAATCTTCTCCAGGATCCCTGCACGCCTAGAGATGCTTCCAGGACATGAGTCCAGAAGGAGGCTCATTATTGTGACTGTATTGATAGTTCATTAAGTGATGGTAGGCACTGCACCAGAGAGAGACTAAAGGATGGTGCTTGCCCAGTTGACTTTTATAAATAAATTCTTACAAAAACTAGGAGATGCCAATGCCCATATGGGTTTTCTAGTTTCCTTTAGGACCCATGCTACAATACATATAAATTGTACAGCTGTACAGGTAACAATAATCAGGAAGGCAGAAGGAAACCCAGCTACTAGGGACAGCCTCACTGTCTCTCTTTCACTCTGGCATTACAGCTACCTTGCTGTTACTCCCTGTCCAACTCCTCGCTAAGAGGAAGAAATGAAAAGCACTCTGAGCCCTCAACTCCTGCTTGGTGCCAGCCTACAGGACAGCATACTGAGCAGCTAGAAGGCTGGGTGGAGGATGGATACTGTCAACAGAATAACTAAAAGGACACCTCTCCAGACCTGAAATGTAACCATTAAAATAACTCAAAGAGAGGCAGCAGCTTGATGGATAACCTGTTTACTGTGTGAGGTAAGAATACAATTCTGAATGTTAAAAGCTGAACTTGTTAACACTTATATGATCCCCGAGTTGTTAAGGCAAGATGGGAGGTAGAGACAGGTGAATGTCGGGAAGCTCATGATCAAGCTAGCCCAGGGTATAGAGCAAGGAAAACCAGGAGACCATGCAAGGTAGAAGGCAAGGACCCACACCTAAGGCTGGCCTCTGAATGCCACACACACCATGGTACCCTTGCCTACCCCCACCCCCTGACTAATTCTGAATTTGGGATGTTCTATGTGTATTTGCAAGCATATGTATGGTACATGTATGCATCATCCTTAGGTGTTATCTTTCTGGCCTTGTTTTTTGAGACAGGGTCTACTCACTGTTATCTGGAAATTACTCACCTGGCTAAGGTGGCTGGTCGGAAAGCTTCAGAGATCTCTATGTCTGTCTCCCTCAGGACATGCCACCACACAGCTCTGGGAACTGATTTTAGGTCCTTGTGCTTGCAAGGCAAGCACTTCACCAAATGCCAAAGTCATCTCCCTAGCCAGGGGATTCTAAATATATGCTCCTTGTTGGACTAGAGTATTTCCTCATACCGACTTCTTTGTTTGATATTGTTCCTCTTTTATAAATAATAATGAAAAAGTTACAAAATTTAGTTCTGCTCAATAACTTACCACAAATAGAACACAGGTCTAATCCATGTCTGTTGATCACGAGCTGCCTATAGCATGTCACCTCCAAGAACAAATTGAAAACAAATGGCTCATCACTGCCAGCAGTGTCCAAATGTCTTCATAACTCAGGTCGAGGGAGGTCTGCGGCTAGTTCTCAGTTTGCCGTCAGTGTCCATTTCTGGGTTTTGATGGTGTGCTACAGTTTGGGAAACTGTGGAAGGAGCACAGAAGTCCTTTGGTAATATCTTAGGAGTTTATTATGATTTCAAATAATTTTTCCAAGAGCAAACACATCTGTTCTACATTATTTTTCTAAGCTTCGGTATTCGCTCAGACCACTGGTGTGTGCGATGCTGCTGTGTAGTTCTAGAACATTTAAAGGAACAAGAAGTTGGAATAAAGACTCTACAGTCCTAAGTAAGGATGCTTGAATGTGCTGGTTCTTGTCAGTATCATTGTTTCTGTGTGTGTGTAACAAAGCTCTCATGGAGAGTCTGGCCTTTAAAGTCTGTGTACCTTTCCAGCCACACTGAAGTTTACATAGTTTCTAATCCCAGAAGAACCGTTTGGCGACTACCACCCCATCCTATTTTGCAAATGCTCCCGAGTAACAGAAAGAGGTTAAATGAGTTGCACTCTGCACCCTGCAAGCTGGTCCCCACACCAAACAGAAAGCCAGCCCAGAGAAGCATTCTCTCATCTCATGGATATTTTCCAGTTACTTGGGTGGGAGGCTAAGAAAACACAAATTCAGCACCATTACACAAGCAAATACATTTGCAAATCATGCATCTGCCATTATGTAAGAATGAAATAATCACACTTATCCTTTACTGGAATAAAAGAAGTTGTTTTTACCTTTTCCTCATGTTCCGATCATCAGACAACCCACTCAGCAACTGCAGGGGGAAAAAAGTCCTCAAGAGGGTGTGTTTGCCGAACAATGGGAGTCGGGAGTGTTCTTTCCTTCTAGATCTTTTCCTGTTGCTTTTATTAAAATTGCTCATTGTTTGAGTAGAATGACTTATGACTGTACTTACTTGAAGTCGCTTGAGTGTGCAGTATTTTATTTCAGTTTTTGAGACTGGTGCCAAAAGGCAGCAAGCTACACGCAGAACTTTTTCCTGTCTCGATTTTCCAGAGACCTTGACTTTCCAACTGCGCACCAAGGTTTCTGAGCCTAAGCTTATTTGGACTACCAAACCTTTTCCTGGCGCTGGTGCCCCTGTGGTGGGATTTTAATTGTCTGTGTCTACACTGAAAGCTGTTAGACTGTTTCCATTTCCCTGTCTCAGATCTCCCAGCCCAGAATCAGACGCTGCTGACAAATAGCTAACTAATTAGGAGCACTTGTGCAGGTTAGGAGGTGCGGTGGGGACAAGGACTGTTTGCTGGGATTCTTGTTACAGTTTAGATTAAAATGTACCTAAAGATAGGAATTGCAAGGGCTTAGCATTTTAGCCTAAACTCTTTTGCCAGCCATTAAAAAAAAAAAAAAGGAGAGGAGTGGAGAAGGCTGTGAATGTAGTTCAGTTAATAGAATGGTTGTCTAACATGTAGAAAGCCCTGGAGTTCATCCCCGTTGCAGAAAACTAGATGTGGTGGTGAGTGCTTTGAAGCCCAGCACTTGGGAGGATCACGAACACAAGGTCATTCTTGGCTACA